GAAGGCGGAGATGATCAGAGACTGACAGCGATCACGGCTCCATAGAGCGCGATGGGGTCAGTCGTGGCGTCTGCCGGACTTCCATTGCAATGTGTGAAGAGCTTGGGTCCTTGACCTGGGCTTCACAACACAGCTGACTTCCTGAGGTCAGCTGAAATCGGCCAAGTCGTCGATGAAATATAACATCATCGTGAAAGACATACCATAAAGGTGGCAGACAATGATCTCAAATATGGGTTGAACACGGTCCTTTCTAGCGGAGTGTTTCGGAATGGTCGGAGATATTGACTCACGGCTCGAGCTGAATTCCACGGTCCCATTTAGCAGTGGCCACGTGAATCTCAGGACGACCGCATTCACATGACAATGTGTGGGGGTGAACAAATCGCCCAGTCACTTCTGGTTCAGAGAAGAGCTGGCTGGAAGATCAGAACTTGTGGTATTACGATATTGTTACCAGATGCAAGAAAAGAGGCGTTTGCACTGATCCAAATACAGGTAAAGCTGGAACTTCCGACTTTGCGAAAGAGGAGGCCAGAGATTGCACTTCCAGAATATTGAGATCAAGTTGAGACGCCAGTGCGACTTAAAAACGGCACGTATGTGGTAGGAGAGATCAGTACGATTCTTACGGATTCAAAGCTTATATAATCCTAGACATATTTCATTACAGAAAACACTGATTGTTTTGTGTGGTGCAGGTATCGTATACAATATCTCAAACCTAAGCCCAATGGTAATTGCATTCATTGTCCATTATTTTTGTACCCCATGGACGCTGTTCTTATTAAAGGGAGTGCTGCACAATTCTATGGGGCTTTGAACCGAAAGAGCCATCGTGAAGATCATTTGGTACATTTCACAGCTCTGTAGGTCTTAAGACCTTAACCCCTCTAGTTCCCGAGCTACACGTCCGCGAAGATAGTGATGCTATTTCGGGGATAGTATTTTAAGGTCACTTTGGCATTCATGACGTGATACCGACGTCATTCAAATCCTGCCATGCCATAAGCGATGCAGCGATCAAGGCTAATGAAAACATAATGGTCGATTCATACATATGTGGCGTTCGTGGATACGAGTTCCAGGTGTAACGGCCGTCACTGGACTCCCAATCAACGTTGTGCACGGCCCGATGACGTCATCAAACCGTGAGGCATCGCGGAGCATATTTATTTAACAGAAAAAATATGCGACCTGGAGCACTCTTTTCTTCTTAAAAGTATACCAATAGTTATAGGTGAGCTTGTTTCGTAATATGTGTGATGCATGCTTTAATATCTTCAAATGTGGCACGTTCCCTTTAACTGCATGCAGTTACACCGTCAGTTACACACGACAGACTTTTCAGCTGTTCGGTACCTCTTCGGGACAGTCTACTGGACCACACCAGCTTGCTGTCAGGCTCTACTGGACCACACCCGCTTGCTGTCAGGCTCTACTGGACCGCACCCGCTTGCTGTCAGGCTCTACTGGACCACACCCGCTTGCTGTCAGGCTCTACTGGACCACACCCGCGTGCTGTCAGGCTCCCTGGGTGACGCCTGTGCACACGCAGGGGCTATTCCCACTTTTCGGGCTCGGTAAACTAGAGGACTGCTCCGGTGGCATGAAGGGGCCATGCTCTTGGGACATACCACGGGGAGATCTATAGGTAAGCCAGGATTATTAGCACTGGCAGGATTATTTATAGGCAGGCCATGCCCGTGAACCCACCGCCGCGGGCGCTGGTTGGCACGGCGTCGATTCAGCGGCAGGGCGAACACTCCCCAATGCCTGTCATCTTCTGGGAAGGGCCGGCCGAGGAAAAGCGCGCCAAGTTTACTGCCCATTCGTTTTTTAGCACTGTTCTTGCTACGGGCCTGTTTGCGGACCTCATATAGATGCCGGAAATCGGGTGATCTCGGGTCTTTCCCCTGGGATTCCTCGATATTGCTGCCGATGTTGATTTCCGGCTATGAACATGATGCAGCGCACGATGTGATGAGTGGATTGACGCAAAAGTGGGAGGTCTGAATGTGAACGCCTCTCATAAATTAATAACAAACAACACAGTCATAGCCGCCAGCAAGGCCACAAACCATTGCCCACTCGTCCGATCTGCCAGCTGAGACGAACCACGCGTCCGCCGCCGGACCGGGTCGCACTTCCAGCCGTCTCCGGCCAACATGCGGCCCGGTTACGTCCCCCCCCCCCCCCGAGCGACCCATCAGCTGCCTACGGTCGCGAAACGTTTGGTTTTAAAAAGCTTGGACGCTTGAAACATTTCGTTATCTGCTGCCCGATGCAGTTTTGTCAGCCGTTACCTCTGAGAGAACTATTGCGTTGTTGATCTTGACTGATCTCGCAAAAGTTTCAGATGATGCGTTCTATTTCAAGCAGTTTTGAGGTTAGAATCCAATGATAGAGAGGACAATTCAGTCGATATCACTTTTGACTTCGATCTGAATGACCACACAAGCAAGAGCGGCTAGGTGTTGTTGGATTTTTAAAATTACGAACATATGAGCTTTGAGGCCTCAAACGCCCATCCTCAACCTCATGTTCCCAAGCCTTGATCCAAAACTGTGATACATCGGGGGTGCAGCCACAACGCAGCGCCGCTGCATCTCCCGCCTGAAGGAACGAGAGGACTGGAGAGTTGTCACGCCGATCGAGAGTTAGTTCCTGAGTTAGAGAGTTAGTTCCTCCTGAAGTTGATGGCATGCAGAAGTTTTGGTATGCTGCCCTTCTGTTGGGGGGAGGGAGGGGGGGAGGGGGGGGGGGCAGTGTGAGTACCGTTGCATTGTGTGGCGCGCGTCCTGCTGCGAGTGCTCGCATGTCAGGTGGAAGGGCAGTGACATTTGTGGGCAGTTGGTGCTGGTTATGGGTGAGGGTGTGCCACCGTGTCAGTTTGCGTATGTCTCATCGTGACTTGTAGTGCTCTACCTCAAATCGTTTCACACTGTGCGCGAGCGTGTGTTCCATACAGTGCACCAGTGACTAGCCTGGCTGGTCTGTGCTGTGCTGTCTCACGAGTCTAAGGAAGCCGCTGGTTGTCAAGATCCCGTCATAAACTGCGTCACAACTGTCAAACAACGGAAGAATGTACCGTGTATATGTCGTTGAGAGTGTGTGGACGCAGAAGTTGTGATAGTGAGCAGAGAGGTCCAATGGCTTTGTTGGTTTCGGAGATAAAGTGCCATCAGCGTACTGATGGAAGTGTAAGTCAATAGACATTGTCATGCCAAGGTGTTCTTGTTCTTGGGAACCACATCAGGGGTGTAAAACACAGCCAGAACAATGTGCACGCCCGTATCTACCTCTGAACAAGCTAACGCGCACCAAACAAATCAAATGAAAATACAAAAGTAACAAATACTTTTGAGGGGGTGTCCTGAGCAGCAAAAATGTGATTAAAGTGCTGTTTTCTCCAGAAAAAGGAACGAGAACAAATTTTAGAAATGAGTGCGTTGGTGTTTCGTTGCGGTGGGATGTTACCTGAATCTTTAGGAGTTAATTCAGGTATTAGACGGTCATTTAAAACAGCTTCTGTCAAGACGTTTATCTTAGACGTGGGGGGTTGAACCATGCCATATTTCTTTGACACGCTCCTGTAACTACAGTTCCTGGAGCGTGGTAGTGCTGCTTGCTGTCGTATTTTCTTCCTGTGAAAATCTGGGGTCATGACCCCTCTTCAAGTGAGGCGACCAGAGGGGCTACATGGGTTGGAACGCCCACAGACCAGATTTGACCCCCTCCATACGTTTCTGACCGCCTCTGGACTTTAAAATGGCCTCACCTGAGTGTAAATGGCCGGCAGGCAGAGACATCCTGGGCTTTACAATGCACTATGGAAGCGGTTCGCTCCCAGGAGTGCTGGAAGTCTGTCGTCGAATTGCCGTCCAGCTTGCTCGGTTCGGGTCCGTTTGGGATTGGTTGGTCCTTGTCGATTAGTGTAACCGTACTGTTGGTTGGACATGCAGCTGCTGGAGCCCAGAAAGCTAGAGCTAGGTCTATGGCTTTGCATAGAAAGAATGGATTAAAAAGACGCTTGCATCCCTAGCACTGATTTTCTCTCGAAAATTCCGCTCCTGTGCTTACCATTCTGCAGGTTAGCCATGACGCTGCTTATGATACAAGGTGAGATTTGTATAAACAGGTACGAGAGAGCCAACCATTTGGTAGGAAACTAAAACTGTCGGTGGACACCAGCAGTTCGCATTTGATCAGCTATCCCAGGCAGCGCTGAACCCCCGAAAATCATGAACCGCGGCGACTAGCCGCACGGCGATGCGATGATCGAGACGCTCCTTCCAAATCAACTGTCTTTTTGAAACATCATGTTGTAATAACCACGTGCAGCCCCCTTACTTACGAGGACCGCTGATCTGACTTGCCGCTCCTCCCCCGTCCATGGGCGAAGTTTTTACCGCGCCACTGCCGCAGCTCACAAAGCCACCTCAACCAACACGCGAGACCAGCCGGCCGCCATTTTCATCGTCCAGTCTCTTACGTCATAAAACCGTTGGGACTGAGCGGCCGGTCTCGGATTCAGCCGTCATGTTTGTTGTGACGGCGGCCACCCGCCACGCACCTTCACGTGGAAGCCCCGAATCTACGCACTACGCGCCTCCCTCCGTACGGCCGCGCAGCCGATCAATGCGGCGTCTTCGAGGCCGTACGGCCTTCCTACTACGGTCTGGTTTGAGCCCGATGTGCGTAGTAAATACGACGGTGGAGGTTTAATGCGCTCGGCTAAAAAGATCAGGTTCCACAAATGCTTTGATGATGATACAAGGCCTTGTAACTGGCGTTTATATTTGTTCAAGAGACTCAATGTCATTTATTACAATTTTAATGATACAATCAACACAACAACACACCGTATTTGAGCTAGAACTTTAGCCGAGCGCACCAAGTGGGCGGAGCTTCTCTCCTCGTCAATAATCATTCAGCGTTGCGCGAGGCTGGGAAACGGGGCCAGCCGCGCGCGGTGGCGCTGGTGGCGGCCCGGGCCGCGCCGTTCAGTCGTTGGGTGTCCGTTGAGGAGGTAGTGCGCTTCTCTTGTGGCGCAGGTTTGAAGCAAGAACTTGCGGCTCGCGACGAAACTGGTCAGCGGCGGAGGAGGACGGAAGCGCGGCTGTCGGACTGAGAGTGAGTCAATGTGGATTTCGGCGGGGAGTGGTTACCGCCGACCCCACCCTCATTCGGAGCGGTCCCGGCAAACGCGCGCCGGGCGTTGTGTCGCTCGCATGAGTGGATGATGAGCATATGACAATTTAGGCGTTTGTGTCCAACGTGAATCCGTGTCCTGACCTCATGGGCGTAGAACCACCTCAGAGAGGGAGGCAAAAACGCGTTTTCGAGGTGAACTTCCATTCGTTCCCTCACCAAAAGTGAGCGTTTGGACGTGAATGGCTTGAGTGAATGACCACTGCCCCCCCCCCCCCCCCCCCCCCTCCGCCCCGCTCCCGCTGTTCCAACGCGCATGACCAGAGCCAGGTTTCGCCATGTATCGCGTCACGCCGCGGTGGCCGCCCATCATGTTCCTTTCGCCCTGTGGCTCGGTCCCGGCGTGGACCAACGGCGTTCTCTCTGCCCCAGATCAAGCGGCCATCCGCGCTGGAAATATAGGTGGCCTGGCGTCGTCACTGAAGGAAATCGCGGCGTCCGGCAGGCGAGGTGGGTACGCCGCACGGCGCTGGCGGGCCAGAGGAGTGTGCTGGCGGTCCCTTGCGGTCCAGAGGAGTGTGCTGGCGGTCCCTTGCGGTCCAGAGGAGTGTGATGGCGGTCCCCGGTGGACCAGAGGGGTGTGCTGGCGGTCCCTTGCTGTCCAGAGGAGTGCGCTGGCGGTCCCTTGCGGTCCAGATGGGTGCGCTGGCGGTCCCCGGTGGACCAGAGGGGTGTGCTGCGGTCCTCGGCGGTCCCGAGGGGTGTGCTAGCGGTCCCCGGTGGACCAGAGGGGTGTGCTGGCGGTCCTCGGTGGTCCAGAGGGATGTGCTAGCGGTCCCTGGTGGACCAGAGGGGTGTGCTGGCGGTCCTCGGCGGTCCAGAGGGGTGTGCTGGTGGTTCTCGACGGACCATAGCGGTGTGCTAGCGGTCCCCGGTGAACCGGAGGGGTGTGCTGGCGGTCCCTTACGGTCCAGAGGGGTGTGCTGGCGGTCCCCGGTGGACCAGAGGGGTGTGCTGGCGGTCCTCGGCGGTCCAGAGGGGTGCACTGGCGGTCCCCGCTGGGCTCCGGCGGGTCTGAGGGCTACCAAACCCCGGCGGCCAGCGTGGCGGACGGAGCCCTGTGCAGAGCCGCGGGCGGCGGCCGCGCCGCAGGCCTGCCCACCGGCTAGAACTCGGTACCGGCTGAGCGGCATCGGAGCCTGCATGGTGGGCCTGATCACGCTGTCCGCCGTCGACGGGGCGCTCCGGAAGCGCGTCGTTTCCGGGTCCGCGGCCAGGATTCCCCAGGGCTATCAGATCTGGAGTCCGCTCAGGGCCTGGTGAGGCTTGAAAGAAGGCTTCTTTCGCCATCAGCGCCGAATTGGACGGCCGCAATGGGACGAGATGGCGGGACATGTCGGCAGCGTCAGATGGTGCTGATCATCATTCAGCCTGTGAGCATCCGGTGACCTGACGACGTGTCCCAACTGGCCACCGACAGCTCACCGACTCCCACTCGAACAACGCGGTCGGGGAGGGGGGGGGGGGGGGGGGGCGTGGGATGGTGCATTCAAGTTCGTTCTGTTGTTTGATGTTCTGGAAAATCGGGCGCACTTCAACGAATTTTTTAATAATATTTTGTAAAGGGAGTGCACCACATCTGTATGGGGTTTTAGACTGAAATAGCCATCTTGAGGAGCTTTCGGTGCTATTCACAATCCTACCCCTCTTAAGACTTACCCCTCTAGTCTCTGAACTACACGCCCGCGAACATGGAGAAAGGTATATCGGGGAGAGTATAATGCAAAGTGACCACGGCATTCGTAAATGCAATATTAACGTAATTCAAATCACACCATTGCATAAGCCATGCGGCGATCAGGGCCAAGAAAAGTATGTTGTTAGGGCGTTCAGATCTGGTGTTCGTGAACGCGATTTCCAGATATAACGTCGGTCAATTGGCTCTCAGTCAATATCGTTCGTGGTACGATGACGTAATCAAACCATGGCGCATTGAGAAACTTGTGAACCAAACAGAGAATTGTACTGTCTAGAGCAGCCTTTTCCACTTAAAAAGTGTACCAACAGTTAGAAGTGAGCTTGTTTCATCATATCTGATGCTTGCTACAATGTCTTCAAATGCGAAACATTCCATTTAACACAAATACGTTCACTACGTTCCGTAAGTGACGTCGGCTACGTCACGTACTTGTGCTCGAATTCCAAATAGCAGTTTTCAACGCCAGCAAATCCCGGACACTTGAAAGATCGCAGCCTCCACGCGTGGTCACGGGCCGTGACGTTATGGACTTTAGCTGTGATAATTATGGAAGCTCTGCAGGGTGCCTGCTTCTCAAAGCGGAAAATCGTGGAATGTCGACGCAATTTGTACTTTTGGAGGTGTTTTTCAATCGATAACGAACCGAAAATGACCAAATTTAGCTAAAACACCACACCCTTAGAAATGAAAACTACATGTACATAAGTCTGTAAGCTCGTGTGTTTCTGACAGAAACTCACCACAGGTGGTACTCACGCTCTATTCCTGGTACCCACGGCTCGGTGAGCCCGACCCCGCTGATTCCCACGGAGGGCTTCTTTGGTGGCCGAACTTCTCATGAGCATGCCCCTTCCCTGAAGAGGCTGCGGTTCCCAGGCGTGCTCAGCCCACTGCCGCGTTGAACGGGGCGGGCGTGCTGACGGGGCGGGCGTGCTGGCGGGCGCGGGCGTGCCGCCGCGGGTGTCCGTCCTGCCACACTGGCCTCCCGTCCATTGGCGCCCTGTTTACCGTCACTCGGAGCTCATTGCCATTGGCGGGGCGTGCGGCCTGTTGGACGCCCCGCTCCGCGCCGCCGCCTCGCTCCGGCCGTAACTCGCGCTCCCAGTGGGCGTCTCCATAGATCAGACGCCGCCGTGTCCTGCCGGCCGCACACGGTCGCGTTTTCACGCGGTTGGCTCGCACCGCCCGCCGTCTGCTCCGCGTGCAGTCAGACGCTGTTGCTGCCCTGCGGGAAAAGCGAAGTGGACAGTTTCTTTTTAAGGTTGTGTCGTCATCAGGAACCGAAGTTACGGCCCACGTTAGCAATTGGGCTCCTACAATGCGGTGAAAGTATAAAGTGCAGGCTAAGGTACAGCCTTTATGTATTGGGAAGCTGGATGAGGACCCTTTGAGATGAAATCGTGCGGTTGGAATTTAGTGCAGTCTGGTCTTTTCTTACTGCATATCCGGCCGAATCACCAAGCGTCTGTCACTGATCTGCTGCCCTCGTGATCGCCTGGCCTCGCTCGATCGCTATCAGCTGGCTAGAAACTCCAGACTGGGCCGCCCCCGCTGCTGGAAGCATACCTGTTGAAAATGTTACCGTTGACTGGGTGCCTTGCCCGACCCAATGCTGCTCAGAGAATAATATTTCGTTCTCATTAAACCTCGCAGATGCATGCGAAATCCATTGCACGCGCGCGCTTGGACCGAGGGATCCAGGCTGCAGGAGGAGGGGGAGGGGGAGGACGGAGATCTCAGCCTGGGAGTCGGCCACCAGCCTGCTCGAGCTGCTGCTGGGACTCTCGCTCCCGGGACATCCCAACTGAGTGGGGCCGTACCTGGGACATCCCAACTGAGCTAGGTCACACCTTGGACATCGCGGCTGAGCGGGGTCGCATCTGAGACATCCCAGCTGGGCGGGGTCGCATCTGAAACATCCCAGCTGAGCAGGGTCGCATCTGAGACATCCTAGCTGAGCAGGGTCGCATCTGAGACATACTAGCTGAGCAGGGTCGCATCTGAGACATCCCAGCTGGGCGGGGCCGCATCTGGGACATCCCAGCTGAGTGGGGCCGTGTGAAGAACATACGAACTCGCAACTCACGATGTTAAAAAGCCGAGAGCGCTAGGTCTTTTTAAGCCAATTATAACGTGAATTTCTGCTGAGATTTCCTCTTGCGCCCGTCATCGCCGCTCCCGGCTGGCCGTCTCATGGCTAGCCTAGCGGCTGACGTCTGGCGGGCTGGGTCGCGGCCGAGCGCGTGCCGGGCCTCGGCGAACTGCGCAGCTGCGCGGCCGGGACCGCGCGGCACGTCGTGAGCCGCCACTGCCAGAAGCCGGAGCCGGCGCGGCAGCCAGAGCCGGAGCCGGAGCCGGAGCCGGAGCCGCAGCCGGTGCGGCAGCGAGAGCCGGCGCGGCAGCCGGAGCCGGAACCGGAGCCGGTGCGGCAGCGAGAGCCGGAGCCGGCGCCGGAGCCGAAGCACAGAGGCAGGGCCCGAGCCGAGCCTGGCAGAGGCGAGGCGGGACGAGTCGAGTCGGGAATAACGTTGCTGATGCGACTTTCCGCACATGTATTTATGGACTACTAATGAAATGTGCGAGTTGGGTGCAAAGTAATGATGCGTCAATGCTTGGAATGATCATCACCAACGGCACTTTACAAGATGCTTCGCTTTGACAGATCATCGATGGATTTTTCTGACATCTGTGATGAATACGCCCTCCACATTCCTGGGACTCAACGTCGAAGCGCTGCTGGAGCCAGAAGCGTACATTAAGCATTAACAGCTCTTTTCTGAGGTTCAAGGCAGCTCTCCATGACACTAGTCATATCAGACGCTTCACATTGGCAGGCAGAAAGGCGGCTGACGACCCTGTGCCTGGTCATGCTGCCATACTGTGGATGTTTGTGCCACCTTCAGTGTGACTGGTTCGATGTCGATTGTTCACACTACCCCGTCGCCCCAACCTTCCCTATTGCAGCTGGCGGTCTAAATGCACTTCGACAGCCATTCGATAGCAATAACAATCACTACACCGCAGGCCGGCGGACCTCATTGGAAAGCAGCCTACCGTCGATCGAAACCTGTTGTCGATTTATCTCGCTTCACGGAGCTGGGTCGGCGCGGTAAAAAGAAGCCGTGTTGCCTGAACGAGACCGTCCGCTATCTCAGTGAAACGAACGCGCTGTTCTCGCGAGGTGTCGTGTCACAGTTGGACAAGCTATTTAAAGCACGGATGCTATCTAATCCTGGACTTACATCGACACGGCCACCGCCTCCGGCCGACACCGAGACAAGTCTGTCTTGCAAAGAGCGCCTGCAACGCACCCGCGGTGCCGGACGCCGCGCTGCATTTGACGCGTCGCCGCCGCTCTCCGCGCCGGGCTGGGCGGCTCGGTCGGAGCTGCAGCGCGGCGCTCCTCGCCGCTGCCGGGGGCGCCGGTTCGGTCGGACCGCGGCACGGCGCTGGTCGCCGCTGCCGGGGGCAGCGCCTCGCTCGGCGGGCGGACCGGTGCGCCAGCCGCACGGCCGTCGCCCCGCGTGTACACTGCGCGTGCCGCAGACCACATTGGGCTGAGGTATGCCGGCCTGGTGCCGCGCGACCACCGCCAGGACTGATTCGTATCTCCGGTCCGCACGGGGCGCCAGCGGCCGCGGCGCAGTGGCCAGCCTAGGAGGCTCCCGGCAGGCTAGCCCAGGCTCATTTCTCTCTCGTAGAAGACTTCCGTCCAGAAGGTGTATTTTTGGAAGACCTGAGCTCAGAACGC